CAATGACTATGACGGTTCCAAATTTATGCATAAGACAAAACTTGGAAGCATTGTGAACTGTGAGGAAGATAGGGTTAGAGTTTCTGAAAGATGTAGGCAGGTAGATGGAACAGGAGAAGATGAAGTTCAATGTGTAGAAATGTAAAATGGTTCATTTTGATAGGAAGAGCATATGGAGACAACATAAAACAAGAGGGCACATTTCTAAAGGGTTGCAGGAGTAAAGTGTTCTGGTGTATATATGCACAACTCATTGAAGAGAGTGGTTATTAAAGTGTAAGTATCCTTGGCATTATTGATGGGGTTTAGAGTATGAGAACAAGGAGGTTACATTGAATTTGCCTAAGATACTGGTTCATCCTCAGCTGGAGTTATGTATCCAGTTCTGGATACCACACTTAAGGAAAGCTGTGAAGACATTGGAGAGGCAGTAGAAAAGATTCATAGATTGGTGAAGTTGATGCTGTTTTCCTTGGAGAAAAGTAGGTTAAGAGAAAGGTCTTCAAAATTCTGAGGGATCTGGACAGGGGAGATGAGGACAAACATCACACTTACGAAAGGATCAAGAACAAAGTGCAGGCTTAAAGTACTTGATAAAAGGAGGAAAAGTTGTCTGAGGAAAAGCATTTTCATACAGTGTGTGGTTAAGACACTGCCTGACAGTGTGGTGGAGACTTAGACTGTTAAGTGAAAAAAAAGGCTATGGGGTTAAGGTGGGAAAATTCTTCTTCCAAAGAGTTGGTGAGGACACTTTGGGATGAATGGTCTCCTGCACTGTAAAAATTCTGCTATTCTGTACTATTGAAATAAAAGAACGTCCTTATCTTGTAATAAAAGCAAAATGTGCTGGAAACCAAACTAAAATCCAAACATACTGAAAAAAGCTTGGCAGCATCTGTGACCTTTCATTAGAACTGGGAAAAGTGAGAAATGAATGTGGAGAGAGGCTAGAGATAGGAACAAAAGGAAAGGTCTGTGACAGGTTAGAGGTGCAAGTGATATGCTGCAAAGCCAGAGGAAGCTGTAATGGAGTTTGGAAACACAAGATACTTCCAGAGAATATGCCAAGATAGCTGCCATCCCAATGTAAAGTGAATAAAATGATAGAAATGAGTGAAGAAAGAAATAAATCAACAGAGAAACATAAAACAAAATGGTTGCGATTTAGAGTAGGTGAACTCTGTGTTGAGCCTGGAAGGCTATAATGTATTAAGTTCAAAAGATGAACTGCTGTTGTTAAACTTGCATCGTGCTTAATTGGAACTCTGCAGTAGACGAAAGGTAGAAAGATTAGACTGGGAACATTCACTGGAGAATTAAAACAACAACAGGCAATGATAAGTTTGGGACGATGTTTGCTGACTGAACAGAGGTGGCCACCCCGTCATGGCTTTGTGAACATGGGTATGGCATGCATAATCAAGAAGCTCAGGCTAAACCCCTACAAATCACTAGTTTGGTCTGAGCACACTTTAAAAGGAAATATTTGGAAAGGGTGGAGAGGAAGTTTGCCAGAATGGTATTTGGTTTGCTTGAAGTTTTAGTTATGAAGAGAGACTGGGAAGCTGGAAGTTCTTTTTAGAACAGAGAAAGGCAAGGAGAGATTTACTTGAGATGTTGAAAATGATGAGGACTTTTCAGTGACAAAAACAGAAATTGCTGGAAAAACACAGCAGATCTGGCAGCATCTATGGAGAGAAAGCATTTTGGGTCCAGTGACCCTTCTTCAGAACACTTGAGTTCCTGCATCTGTAGTTTTTGTCTAGGGATTTTCAGTGATTTGGTAAAGGCTGTTTTCCCATGTAAATGGCTCAGTAACCAGAGGTCACACAATTAAATGAATTGCTAAAAGAACAATGGAGGAATTTGGAAAAATTGCATTACCTAAAGTCTTATGAGGATTTGGAATACATTATCTGCAAGCATGAAAACAGAACCCATAGGAACTTTCTAAAAGCCATTGGACTTGCACTCAAAGCATATCAATTGTTGGGATAATAGAAAGGAATGCATTGGGTAACTCTTTCATAGAGCTGGCACAGGCTGGATGGTTCAAGGTGCACAAACTGTTCAGAATATGGAAAAATATCCCCAAATTATGTTGATGGGGGAAAAATAATCTCCCCTTCAGAGAGTTGTTGCAGAAATGAATATTTACCATTGACTGCACCAAACTGTGGCTAATCTTCTGTGTAAGTACAGGTCTCAGAGATTCACCCAGGGTAATTGTTATGTTGCATAGACAGGAATGAAGTTTATATTACAGCATTTCATTGACACCTACCATCATTGTGGACAACCTTGAAAAACCTATGTCAAACTCAAAGGACAGGTTTGGAAAATAAAGGAAATTTTCAGAACATCATATGTCTCACATAGTGAAAGTTATTAAATTAAGCTACTAACTAATGTTATCTTGTTTGTTAAAATTCCAGAAGTAGAAATTTGAACCTGACAGTACCTGAGAGGATAAAAGCAAAGTAAACTTGCCATAGTCCCAGAGTTATATAGGGCTGCATATGGGGCATTCGGTAGAAAAAGATGATATGGTGATTTAACCTGAGGGTCACCAAACCTCAAGTGAGGGGTGATATTGAGAAGACAGGTAATCTCACTGGGTGCGGGAATTGAAACTGCGCAGTTGGTGTAACTCTGTATCACAAATCAACTATCCAGCTAATGAACTAACCGACCCCCAACCCTCATGGTTAAAGCAAAGTGAGTGACACAAACGTGTTAAAGTTGACACTGTTGTTCAATAGATCAGATTGGAATTTAATGTTTAATGTATGGGCTCTGGAAATTCTATTTGGATTTGTTTGCCTTTCCTCATTTCTGATGTAATTTTATTATCAGTTGATTGTATTATGAAGGGATGTGTATGAGAAAAATTCATTTGATTGTTATGACGTAGAATCAACTGCCTGAATCAAGTTTAATAATAACTTTAAAAAATGAATTGGATTATAATTGAAATGATAAGTAATTTCACGGAAACAGAAAGGAACAGGAGAATGATACAGAGATAGTAGGAACTGCAGATGCTGGAGAATCTGAGATAACAAGGTGTAGAGCTGGATGAACACAGTAGGCCAAGCAGCATCAGAGGAGCAGGAAGGCTGACGTTTCGGGTCTAGACCCTTCTTCAGAAAAGGCCCGAAATGTCAGCCTTCCTGCTCCTCTGATGCTGCTTGGCCTGCTATGTTCGTCCAGCTCCACACCTTGTTATAGGAGAATGATACAAACTGAATAGTTCTTTCAAAGAGTCAGCACAGCCACAGTGGGCTGAATGGCCTCCTACTGGGGCTTTGCACGTATGTATTCTGGTAAGTATTACAATGCAACAGTATTGGAGTCAATAGACAACAGTTTATGCCAATGTGAGAAAATTGTATAAAAACATTGGGATTTCCCGTTTAGATTGTATGGGTATTGGTGAAGAGATAAGATTACAGTGTTTAAATTTGTCACATGCTGAGCTTTTCTGCTAGTAACCATATTAATGTAAAGCTAGTAAAACAACAGTTTCACACATTCTTAACAAGTACGATACATGCAGCAGAGTGATGATAGATACAGTGGAAACACTGAAATTTTCCTTGTGGAGAAGTTTGCTTTTAGCCTTGCTCACTAGGTTTGATGGCCAATGTGCTAGTGTTAGTAACACAAAATTTCAGCTTCTTAACCAAGCAAAGTGACAGAAACTCATGATAATGTCCAAAGAGATGTGGTTTATAGACTGGACATGACAGATTTATGAAAATATAGTATTCTTTTTACCAAGTTTTGTTTCAAACAAAGTTAGGAAATTTTCGAAGATTGAGTTACAATTTATAGCTAAACTTTATAATTGATAACTTAAGTTGTGTGATCAATTAAATGTCGCTTCAAGCTACATCATTTAAATACTTACAGTCATAGAGTCATACAGCATGGAAACAAGACTCTTTGGTCCAACTAGTCCACGCCAACCATGTTCCCAAACTAAACTAGTCCCACCTGCCTGCGTTTGGCCCATATCCCTGCAAACCTTTCCTGTTAATGTATTTATCCAAATGTCTTTTAAATATTGTAACTGTACCTGCATCCACCACTTCCTCTGGCAATTCATTCCACACACAAACCACTCTGTGTAAAAAGGTTGCCCCAGGACCTTTTTAAAACATTTTCCTCTCACCTTAAAAATATGGCTCCTAGTTTTGAACTCCCCACTGTAGGGAAAAGACCCTTGCTATTCACCTTATCTATGCTCTTCATGATTCTATAAACCTTTTTTAAAGAATAGAGCCAAGTTTATTATTAGGTATTTCTTTTTTATTATATATTTGGTATTTTTACTATGTATTATTACAAGTAATTTGTAATTATGATAGAGCCCACCATCTCAACAGAACAGTGAAGTAGCTGATCTGTTGTCTCAGTGGGATACCTCTATTTTGCTCATGATGGGAGGATAGGCTGGTATGAATATCATTCTGTAGGTGAAGTTCCATCAGTGCAGATAGCCTGCTGTCCCCGTATTTACAGTGCTGCACTGTGCCAGTGATTTTTGTGTATCTTAAAAAAAACTCTTTTAGCAAATAAGTTAATTGGAACAATTCTGAACTGAGTGGATATGCAATGTGGAACAGGATATCCTTTTAGTTTGCTCTTTCCTATCCGACCTGGGATGAAGAGTTCTGATAATACCAGGCCATTTGATTCTTTTTCATGGAGAATGGAATGGCTGCAGATGAGCAGTTAAAATGTGTTATGGGACTAAGTGAAGAATAGCCATGATAATTCTATGATTCTTCTATAAATTAATGTTCAGTTTAATTTAAGTGCATTTTCTTTACAGCCGTATTAAATATTGTTTACAGATGTTAAGTGCTTGTATCATTGAAACATAAAATGATTTGCTCACTATCAGTGGCATCTTCATTAGATCTCACTTTCTTTTTCATTGCCCCATTTTTTTCTCCTCACCGCATTGCTCCCCATTCATCATGTCTGTGCAGTGAGCTCCTTATGCTGCCCAGAGCAAAACGAGGAAGGAGTGCAGAGTGCCTGCATACTGCCAGGTAAATAGTAAGTGAATGTATTCTGAGAATGAGCTTTGTTTTTAAACATTGTTTTAGCATTCTTCTTGTAATAATGGTTTTCAATTGTAAATTTATACAGTTCAATGATAGACATCTTGTTGTGTTGTTTAAAAACAGCTACACTTTACATTTGTACTATTTTGCCTTTCATGGGTCTGTATTTGGTATGCTCCACAGCTATTGACAACACTGCTAATATACAGGTTGAATCTGCTAAAACAACATGTGAGCTTGATGATCCATTGCTCATCACAACATGTGCTTATGATTACATTTCTGACATCTCTTCATGTCTAAATCCTTGTAAGATTAGATGTATTCAAGTAACCATTGTTTAAAAGTTTGTTGTGATATAAACACACTACGGTAAACAGTATCCTCTTACAATTAGTTCATTGTTGGTGATAATTTTCTTAATACAAAATTAATACTGAAAAGTGTGTTTATGCCTAACTCTCAAATATTATATTTGCCTCCAAGTATTTTTATTGAGTAAGTAGTCTCTTTTCTCTGATCTGTTTTGCTTTGCAAGTACTCCACAAGAGTAATTCCCATTCAAGCAAACAATCTGCAGAAAGGAAGAACATTTCTAGACCCTGTCATGGACCAAAACTGCCATGACCTTCAACTGAGCCTTTCCGAGCACTGACCTTTGACTGTCATTCTTCCTTTTGGATCTGACCTGGCAGAGTGGAGTTTGTGACCCCTCTGTACACTCCTAATAATGCATCAACAACGTAAGAACTGGGAGCAAGAGTAGGCAATTCAGCACCTCAAGCCTGCTCCACCATTTGATCTGATCGTGGCTGATCTCATATTAGCCTCAACTCAGTTTTCCGGTCTGCGCTCCATAATGCTTCAGTAATAACTAATTAAAAATTTGTCTATCTCCTCCATAAAACAAGAAACGTCAAAATCCTCTCAGAATGGATTTCCATATTCACATTGAAAGGTGATCTAATCTGCTTGGTCACTTCACTGGCCTGTGAAGGACCTTTCCTGAACATCAAGGAAGATCCTGGCCAATCCACAAAGCTACAATTGTAATAACTGGAGCATTGTGCTATGAGTCATTTAGGGATTATTTGTTCATTGTTTCAGAATGCATTTTCTTCTAATGGGTGTTTTGATACAAAGTCAGGAGATTTGCTTTTAATCTCCAATTATTGCTGAAACAACCGTTACAGTGTCTTGGAGACAGGTGCTAACACCAAAAACAATGGTCCACAATGGCACCTATGGCACTTGCATCATAGGGGTTGCTCTCCTATACCTTTAACTCTTGAAGTTCAGATATCATTTCTAGTAAATTCACTTTGTGTGCCCTCCAGGTTACTGGGTCTTTCCAAATCTTGTGATGCCCATCAAACTGACCTTTGCCTCTATTGTAACGATGTGGTGAATGGGTCAAGAATGAACAGGAGCTGAATATTCTTCAACAGTCATGTCAAAGACAGGCTACGTGTTTTTAAGGTCACATTGCCAAGGATCAAGTGATAGATGGGGAATGAGAATGCAAGGTGACTAGGGAACTTTGAATGAATATGTTTGAAAAGATTTCAGGAGAGAAGCAGTTTGAAGAAATGTTCAGGAAATGGCAGTTTGATTGGTAAACGGTGGATGGGGCTATTGAGCTGGACAGATGTGGGAAAGCCTTTGAGCAGGATGGTGCAGACAACCATGATACATGCTGGATAGAAATTATGAAGGCAGGGCGCTGTGTGTACTGTCAACAACAACAACTTGTGTTTATATAGCACCTTTTAAGGAAGTAAAATGTCCCCAGATTCTTCACAGGATCATTGTACACAGTTTAACAAAATTGGTCATGTAAGGATTTGTTCAAAGAGATAGGTTTAAAGGTGCATGCAAAAGAAGAAGCCAGAACGGAGCGATTAGGAAGGAAACTTCAGAGCATGCGGCTGAGATAGCGGAAAGCAAGGCAGCCAATGTTCACAAGGCCATGATTGAAGGAGCACAAATTTTTACGAGTGTGTTTGGAGGAAATTACAGAAACAGGGAGGGGCAAGACCATCGAGGGATTTGGACATTTTGAAAATGAACCTATTATTTAACCAAAAGCCAATGTACAACAGTAATAGGTGAACAGGATTTGCTGTGTTAGGTTATGGACAGCATAATTTTGGATGATTGTGAGTAGAACATGGAAAACCAGCCAGAAGTGTGTCAGAATAGTTAGTTGGCATTAGAAAGAATGGTCAACAGTTCTGCTTCTAAGGAATCCAAAAAGTAGGCGATACTGAAATGAACTTTTAGTGGGCATGGTTGTTAAGTTAGAGACAGAGGAGTGAGATTACAACATGCAGTTTACATAAAGTAATTTTCTTGTTCTTGTTCCTCATATTGACTGGAAATGTAGGTTCCTGATGGTAAGAGACACTGGGTCCAATAATTGGTGAGACTGGTGGTGAGAACGTAATGTGAAGTCTCATGCTGTTCCAAAATTAGTAAAGCTGGATAAAAAATGTCACGAGCACATTAAGGCCTTGCAAAAGATACCCAATGAGACATGGCAACATTTCTTCACACACTTCTTCTGTTTCTAGTCTCTGTCTTCCAGAATGTTCTCAATAAATCATTTAGATCCACTACATTTTGAATAAATTCCTCCATGGCTGAGTGCCCTAGTGCTATGATCTCGAATGTGTAAAACATGATAGCAGTCATCATGTTGATTTGACTCATGAAAGCTATCTCCTGTACCTTATGAAGTTAGAATATAAATTTGAATATCTGTCTGTTTTAAATTCTAACATGTTCTATTTCTGTATCCTTGCTCATGTTATTCTGTCTTGTTACAGTGTGTTAGATGTTTCTGACAACCACAACCTTACTAATATTCAAATATTTCCTATTGTTTTCCTATGCTTTTAGTCAATTTCTGTCAGATCTCAGCCAGCTCTTACTTGTATCTAAGATGAACTTTTTTACACCTTGAAGTCTTCCCTCATAAGATGTGTTTGCTTTCTCCATGACTCGAGTTACGAGCGAGTGGAACTCCTTGCCATAATCTACCATTGTTATTTTCTCCTTCTAATTCAGCCATCGAATTACACTCACCAAATTTAGACAGTTAACTTTTTGCAAATTAATGACATTGAAGTAGCTCATATATTGCTTGAAAAGTGTTAAAAATCTCATTATCACAGTTACATTTTTTGGTTTCTAGTTTTACCGTTACCAAAGCAGCTGTCCCAAGAGAAACACAGTCCAAAAGTGTGTTCCTATGACTTCACCAGCCTGTGTCAACTGTATCAATGAAAAGCCACTTGCCTGATTTCCTGACACAAGAACATCACTTGCATCATGTCAAAATTACATTGATTGCTTTCAGTGTGATCTCTACTAACATGCATGTAGAATTTCATGTCTTTGAGCTTATTTGTTTGCATCTTTAATTGCCACAAAGATAAATATTTTCATCAGTCATTAAATTATCCTTTTCAATCTGAATCATGCTGATTGAGAAAGATACAAACCAAGGTATATATTCCATCGAGCAATTGTATTATTCGACAGCTCTAAGTAAGCTGTTGCAATCAGATATGGCTAACATTGCCCCATATTTCATTTAAGTTGAATGTTCTGTTGCTGTCTACCTACGTAAAAGTTTTAATCTGTCATGAACCAGAAGTTTATTCATTTTTTCTTGTTGCAGTTTCACATGCCTCCAAATCTTCTATCAAAGCTGTGTGTTTAAAATGGGGCAAAATAGAACTTTGTTAAACAGAGGGTTTCTATAGCAAACTTTATTATTTTTGATATTTTTTAATTGAATTATCTTTAATTAAAGGCAAACTAAGATGCAGAATAAATTAGGTTGATGCAATTGACATCCTGTTTCATAACGAAGATTCTGTTTTGACAGTCTAACCTGGAAAAGGTTAATGCCCAGATTCCATTGTCATTCCATCAGTCGGGCACCCAGCTAACATTAAGCCTGAGAAGGAGTACAGGATAGAATGTGTAGAATGGTATTAGCCACACAGAGACTGCTTTGGAGACTGGAGGGAAAGAGTTTTGTGAAACATCTGAGTGTCCTTGCTGGAGGCAGGTTCACAATATCAACAGCAACCCAGCTAGCAGTAGTAATCAGCCAATTACTGGCAATCGATTCATGGACTTCCCCGATGTTAGACAGTTCGCTGTAGGAGCCTGAAGTCTGAAAGTGGTCTACGGAAGGGTGTAGAAGTTGAGACATTGAAGGGAAACTGCCTTCAATTACTGAATTCCCCACCGTACCAATCACTCCTCCTCCCACTTCAGGAGCTAATGGTGTCATAGGGCACATTGTTGAGGTACCCCCACTGTGTCTTCATTACATTGACAGTGCCAGCTCTGCCAGGGGAGTTCCTGACACCCACAGCTACAATTGCTCCACTTTTGGCCTTCCTGCTCCCCTGGAATTTTTTGCCAGCAACAATATTTCCATTCTGATCTAGATATTTATTATAGAACAGTATTCCCATCCAGATCCAGATATTTATCACAGAACAATATTCCAATTCCGATGCAGGCAATTGTCATTGAACAATATTCCCATTCTGATCCGAATATTTATCACAGAGCAATATTACCACCCCAATCCAGAAATGTATCACAAAACAGTATTCCCATTCCAATGCAGACATTTAACACAGAATGATATAATCTGGATATTTTATCAAACACAGTATTTCCATTCCAATCTGGATATTTCACCAGGAACATTATTCTCACTCTGATGCAGACATTTCACCAGATACAGTATCACTATTCACATATAGTTATCGCATGATGATCTTTTTTGCATTTTCCCTCAACAGTCCCCACTTTCCTGTTAGAAATAGTAATAACTGCTGATGCTGGAGTCTGAGATAACACAGTGTGGAGCTGGAGGAACATAGCAGGTCAGGCAGCATCAGAGGAGCAGCAAAGTTGATTTTTCGGATCGGGACCCTTCTTCTCTGTTATTCTTG